TGCTGCTGGGGGACCCAGCCAGCGCCTGCCAATCTGACGGCACCTGGACTCCCAAGCCCACCTGCCTTCGTGAGTACCTCTGGGTGTCACACTGAGCCTGAGGGGGGCACCCTGTCTGCATGGGGAGCAGGCGGGATAGCTGCAAGCACGTCTCCAATCCCTCTTTTCCCCCAGCCTGCTGCAGGAGGGCTGCAGTGCTGGTGGGCACTCTGTGATGTGCTCTGGCCCTGCTTTTGCAGGGATCTGCCTGCGAGGTCGGATTGAGATCAGTGAGCGGGATATTACTGGGAGGTGCTCCTCATCTTGCAGCACCCAGACCCACCTGGGAGCCTTCCTCAACCATGGCTGCATCAAGATCTCAGCCTGTGTCACCAAGCACTCAGGCTGGGCCCGCTGGTTCCTGCGCTGTGATGTCTGTGAGTGCGACTGCCATGTCCCGTGCGGTGAGTCCCAGTAGTGGATGCCCACCTTTGCTAAGGGCTTGCCTCACTGTTTCATGGGAAGTGTTGGCACTGAGAGCTGGGGGCTGCCCAACAGCTCAAAATCTGCTGCTCTTGCTCTCCTTACAGCTTCCTCTGGTTAGAAGTGGGTCATCTGGGGCTGTGGCCACTGGCCCCACACCGAGGGAGGCTTCTACCTTGGATGTCTGCTTCCCTTTGCCATGTGTCTCCATCGCTGTGCTCCTTCCATAAGGTTCATCCATCCCAAGGCTGTCATCTGAGAGGAGAGATGCTTCTGGACTCACTGTCTCGCAGGGCTGCCTTTCTGCCTGGCCCCATCCTGTGATTCTTCAGTGGCAGGGGATGCTCTGTGAGCAGCAGACACTGGAGAGCTGTGTGTGTTTCCTGCAGCTGGGCTTGGGGAGATTGGTGTCTTGGCCTCTGCCTTCCTAGAGGAAGTTCATATCCCTTGTTAGAGGAGAGGTAGCACGCATCCCTTTGCTTGTTGCAGAAGTATCTATCCCATCTGTGCTGCAGGTTGTGATTTCTCCCTGCCAGGTATTTCCTGCACATGGACCATCTGCCCTCTGTGCTTGCTGCCACTGTCAGGCAGAGCTGGAGCATGGGACCTGCCTGCTATAACTGTGCTATGGGCAGAGCTCGCAGTTCAGGGACACAGTTATGGCTAAGGCTGCTGTAGGAAAGTCCTAGCTGGATACCAGATGGATGCTGAATGTGCTTGTGGCACTGGCCACCAAGCCTTTCTGGGCACTGGACTGCCATCCCTGATGGCCTTCCACCTTGAAACAACTCCACAGCAGGATGCTGCACCAGCTCCTGAACCGGCCCCGAGTGGTTGAGGAGGGGCTTTAGCCTAGAGTTTCACTCCCAAACCCTGCTTGTGCCCACTTGCAGGGAAGCAGGGCTGCTTTGCACTGTGCAGAGGAGACCTGGGCTGAGACCCGCTAACAGCAAGTGCCCTTGAGATGAGAGTCAGCATGGTGAACACAAAGCAAACTGGATGGATCTGGCATGCCTTTTGCTCTGTGAGAAGATGTCTGAAGACCTCCGTATGGAGCTTGGCTGTACGACTACCTCTTTGTGCCCTCCTCCTGCCCAGCCTGTGGGCTGCGCTGCCCTATGCTCTCTCCTCTGGCTGTATCCTGCTCTCCCAAGGAGCCAAATCACTGCCCTAAGCTCTATCCCTACCCAAGCCTGGCTGTGGGAGGGGAAAGCTTCCCTTGGCTCAACAGATGGTTTTTTAATTAATACTCTTGTTAGTGCCACTCATTTCCATATGTCTTTCGTGTTTAAGTGCTGTGGTGGGTGAGAGGTGTGAGTAACAGTGATGATGGAGCCAGGCATGGCGCTGCGGAGGGTGGAGGTGCAGGATCCCCCATGATGAGCTGCGGAAGGTGGGAGTGCTGAGGACAAAGTCCTGGGGGGGTACACCATCCTATTAAGGCTCTTTGTGGCCAGCAGTAACCCCAGGCTCTTGATGCCTGGTGTGGGCTTCAAGTTTCACCCAAGCCCAAGTTTCACCCAGCTTCTTCCTCCATAGGGTGGTGTGGCCCCTCTCCCAAGTCTGTACACGGCTGAGCGCAGGGGTGAGGAGCATCCTGGATGAGAGGAGACTTAGGGGGTGTTGGGCCCACAGGGTTTTGGGCTGGGGTGGCAATGGAGGGAGCTGCAGTGGGTTCTACCCTGCATGTGAACAGTAGCAGGGAGCGGGGAGGGGTGCTGGGGGGCTTCGGAGGCAGGGCTGGCAAACCCCAGGCTTGTGCGCTGGTGATGCTCAGGGCCCTCTGGCTTGCGGGGAGAGGAAATAAGGCCGGTC